TTTCATGCTTTCGAACTCAAGGTATTATGATTCGTTATGATGCATTATTAGTGACTTCTTGATCAGTCAAAGGGTTTAAAGAGCCAGAGAAAATATACCCAAGTCAAAAAAGCTGCATTTTCCATGCTACGGCTACTGTAGGTTAATTAATAACAGCATACCCATGATATGATTAAGTGAAATTGACCCTTGTTTTGGAATGAAAATACACACTTTTTTTGCACTGTGAGAGCTTGTGAGAGAATACTTTACTCTACCTTATGGTCCTTAGAGAGAGTAAGTCRTTGAGGGTTGAGACGGGCCTTGCTAATGTTATACTATCAGTTAACCTATATTTTTATGGTTGCAATGCTAATAGACCTCTTGACCTGGGGCGTAATCTTTTCGCATTTTAGACTATCGGTGTCATTCTCTTGAGAGTAAGATTCAGTCTTTTCTTGAGTTGTATCCCTATATATCAAATTGAGTTCCCATGTGCAACCGGCATTAAACAAAGAAATCATACTCTAGAGGATGATCTGAATTAATTGGTTTAATCCATTCTACTCTTTATGTTTCATAATATTTTGGCAGCAATGACAGAATGAAAGTATATATGACATTATATAAACCTCGTGGGGGAAGTATATTCTTGCTTTCATTATAAACAACAGCTATAAAAGCCTACAATCTACTGAAAAGGTAAAAAAAAAAAAAAAACGAGAATGTATTTTCACATATCATTGGCTCTTGTATTCTTACATTGTACAATGATAGCTTTTAGGTATAAATAGTACAGGTATGTAGAATGCAAACGGCCATACATCCCATGTATTCTGTAAGGTCAAAAATGAATATGTTCAGTATTTGTGTTCTTTTCAATTCCCGACACAAAGTACGAAATACGACAAACTAGCAAAAGCAAACAAAAAAAAACCGAGAGAGAGAAAGAGGAGAGCAGTCCAGGTCAACAACAGCACAGTAAAGAGGCAGACTGTTAATAGCACAAAGTCAAGGTCAAGTGAGGTCAAAGTTGCAACAAGTAATATGACATGTATAAAAGGCGGGCTTCGTGTGTTCTTTTTAATTCTTGGTCTAATTTCTATATATATATATTTTTTTTCCCTTCCATTTGTTAGAACGACCGATGTGCCGTTTTTCAA